CTATAACATATACACACACACATACTCGTCACATACACCACATATTGCAAATATTGTAAGGTCAAAAATGATAACTCAATTTTGTACATCCTTACACCTGCTGCCCCCTTTCACCTAGTACTAAATAGGTATCAGTGCTAGTAATGAGTTGTATCCTTTTTTATATACTATTTATTACGTGGGGGTAATGGTCAAATTGAGTTAAAAGTCCCTCAGTCGAGAAAGATGCATCGTAATCCATACCTGAAGAATACTAGAGTGATTAGTTCCAAATCCGCACATTGAAATTAATGCCTACGAGAACAGAAGCTTCACAGAAGTGCAAAATACTTTAATGAAAAGCAGTGGTGCCATGAGTAAAATAAGAGAACACAATAAGTGTCAGGGATCCAAGACTTTTCAATACCTTCGGTTAATACTTAAGAGGAATTACCAACCGATCTCTAGATGTCTTCAAGACAGAACCCGATGTTTTCCTTGAGTTAGTTGTTGATTAGCTGGGCTGCAATCTCTACAGTGGATTTAATGCTACTACAACCAACAGCCTAGGTGATCAGAGCATCAGCCAGGAGACCTGGTCTCGGGTCCAGCCACATGCCTAATGTTTTCCATCATCAACAACACGTAGACCACTTTATAACTTGGTAGTAATTAAAACCGGCAATATTCAAGCTAATACATTAAGTACCACCGTAAACCCGGGTGGGTCATTCAGCACAAGGAGTGATGGAGGCTCGATCCTCAGTTCGCTGTCACGAAACAAAACCTCTACATGCGTTCTCTTATGGCCGACCATACGAGTTCCTATGAAGGCTGTGAACATTGCATGTTTTTTTCTAAAAGAAGGTCATTTATGAAAGTAAAGTCGTTATTACCCTTTGTATACGCCAGTGTAAGACTGAATGATTTAGTGAATTAAGACTGACGAACAACAACCTGGAGTGTAACTCTCGCTAACTCTTCCCACAGTTCAGGTCAACGTTGCAGCTTCAAGACTGAAGAGTCATGCTAAGTAGTATGATATGCCTAGAAACTCACCTATAAACTTAGACAATTTCCTATAAAACAGGCATGTCAGTGTTAAAAGTGAGATTTTCAGAGAATGAACAAGAGAGAAATTTATTACGTTTATAACACTGCATAACTCCTGATGATGCATGAAGACGTGTGAAAGATCTTTATCCCCCCGTGGCTTGTCTTGCACTAAGATCACTTGTTTTGCGAATTTATTTCGCTCCCTACTTTATATATTAAAGTATAGGCTTTAAATTCCACTCAGCCACCAACCAACTTGGCGTGTCACTGGCTGCAACAAAATCAATTTTGTGTATATTTATGAAAGGTTATGAGCTTAATACAGTGTATTATTGATCGTGAAGATTAAAACTAATGTATCATCAGCTTTCCTCTTAACCGTTACCTGCTGACTTAATGCTCCTTCCATTACCTGCTGACTCATTACCCCATCTCTGTTACCTGCTTACCCAGTACCCCCTCTCCGTTACCTGCTGACTCAGTACCCCCTCTCCATTACCTGTTGACTCGATACCTCTCTCCGTTACCTACTGACTCAAAACAAACTAGTCACAGAATCTTTGAGGCACTCATGTTCATTTAGTGATGTTACGTACGTCTAGGAGGTACGGCTCCCTGCACAATGTTATCTGGTATTCTCGTCAGGAGAGTACAGCAAGAATGCAGGCAGCAACGGGCAGGCGTGCTAATCAACACGCTGCAGGTGCAACGTTTCACCACAAGACGCCTGCCAAGGTGACCACATCTCGGCTCACATCTCATCCGTTGACAACTTCTTAATTTAAAAAAAATCAGTTCCTTCAGTGTCTTGTTGCTGAGAAACAACAACAGCAGCTTTGATCACAACAACAGAGAAACATACCTCTGATATACCTGTGAGCAGTCTCGACAGTTTTTCTACACTAATATAGCCTAACCTCATTTAACTTAGCCAGTCATTCCTACCCGCGGCCCGCAAGTACACAACAAATGAGACGGTAGATCAGCCGCCAATCTCTACCCTTAATGAATACAACTCAGCGAGTACATAGGTACACTTGCAATAAGATCAAGAGACATCGTTCAACTGAACAACATCAACATAACTGTCCACCAGCACGTACACAGATTTTCTCCTTAACGTTCTTTTTTATCCACAAGTCACCAGGAAGTGATCCAGGATGCTTCCTGGTGAGGAAAAGAAAAGAAAGAAGAGTTCGTAAATGAGAGAATTTACAAGAGAACCTATCTATTCTTTCAAAAATATCACTGCATAGGATAGCATAAGGTTCCTCAAATCAGTTCCTGATCAACTGGGCTGTAGTTTATACGCTGGGCTGTGATCATCAGCAACCAGGAGGCTGCTCTGAGGCCGGGCCGCTGGTACGGTGACCTCCAGAACAAACTCCAGGTAAACTACAGGTAAGGTACAACACAGCCGCTGTGTGAGGCAGTACTGTTGTAGTGCAGCAGATACAGTACAACTTATGTAAGGCAAGACTGCTGTAGTACAGCAGATACAGTACAAGTGTTATGTAAGGCAGTACTGTTGTAACTACTCCAAGAGATGTAACTGTAAATATCAGATCAGAGGTATTTCAACAAAGTTCAGGGAAGAGAATTGCCAACACTGAGCAAACTGTCTTCAAGGTGAACCTTGAGGAGTTGCTTGTAACACTCCATGAACCAGACAGGCTGCGATGCCTGCCAACTGCACGTGCCAACAGTCTGACTGACCAGACTGTCAATCAGAAGGCCTGGTGACCTAATACAGGAATCCATCCTCTGAGGATTTTTCATACCTTCCAGCACTACACTCACTATACTTACCACCTAACACACTGATCATACCTTCCAGCACTACACTCACTATACTTACCACCTAACACACTGATCATACCTTCCAGCACTACACTCACTATACTTACCACCTAACACACTGATCATACCTTCCAGCACTACACTCACTATACTTACCACCTAACACACTGATCATACCTTCCAGCACTACACTCACTATACTTACCACCTAACACACTGATCATACCTTCCAGCACTACACTCACTATACTTACCACCTAACACACTGATCATACCTTCCGGCACTACACTCACTATACTTACCACCTAACACACTGATCATACCTTCCAGCACTACACTCACTATACTTACCACCTAACACACTGATCATACCTTCCAGCACTACACTCACTATACTTACCACCTAACACACTGATCATACCTTCCAGCACTACTCACTATACTTACCACCTAACACACTGATCATACCTTCCAGCACTACACTCACTATACTTACCACCTAACACACTGATCATACCTTCCAGCACTACACTCACTATACTTACCACCTAACACACTGATCATACCTTCCAGCACTACTCACTATACTTACCACCTAACACACTGATCATACCTTCCAGCACTACACTCGCTATACTTACCACCTAACACACTGATCATACCTTCCAGCACTACACTCACTATACTTACCACCTAACACACTGATCATACCTTCCAGCACTACACTCACTATACTTACCACCTAACACACTGATCATACCTTCCAGCACTACACTCACTATACTTACCACCTAACACACTGATCATACCTTCCGGCACTACACTCACTATACTTACCACCTAACACACTGATCATACCTTCCAGCACTACACTCACTATACTTACCACCTAACACACTGATCATACCTTCCGGCACTACACTCACTATACTTACCACCTAACACACTGATCATACCTTCCAGCACTACACTCACTATACTTACCACCTAACACACTGATCATACCTTCCAGCACTACACTCACTATACTTACCACCTAACACACTGATCATACCTTCCGGCACTACACTCACTATACTTACCACCTAACACACTGATCATACCTTCCAGCACTACACTCACTATACTTACCACCTAACACACTGATCATACCTTCCAGCACTACACTCACTATACTTACCACCTAACACACTGATCATACCTTCCAGCACTACACTCACTATACTTACCACCTAACACACTGATCATACCTTCCAGCACTACACTCACTATACTTACCACCTAACACACTGATCATACCTTCCGGCACTACACTCACTATACTTACCACCTAACACACTGATCATACCTTCCAGCACTACACTCACTGTACTTACCACCTAACACACTGATCATACCTTCCAGCACTACACTCACTATACTTACCACCTAACACACTGATCATACCTTCCAGCACTACACTCACTATACTTACCACCTAACACACTGATCATACCTTCCAGCACTACACTCACTATACTTACCACCTAACACACTGATCATACCTTCCAGCACTACACTCACTATACTTACCACCTAACACACTGATCATACCTTCCAGCACTACACTCACTATACTTACCACCTAACACACTGATCATACCTTCCGGCACTACACTCACTATACTTACCACCTAACACACTGATCATACCTTCCAGCACTACACTCACTGTACTTACCACCTAACACACTGATCATACCTTCCAGCACTACACTCACTATACTTACCACCTAACACTAATCATACCTTCCGGCACTACACTCACTATACTTACCACCTAACACACTGATCATACCTTCCAGCACTACACTCACTATACTTACCACCTAACACACTGATCATACCTTCCAGCACTACACTCACTATACTTACCACCTAACACACTGATCATACCTTCCAGCACTACACTCACTATACTTACCACCTAACACACTGATCATACCTTCCGGCACTACACTCACTATACTTACCACCTAACACACTGATCATACCTTCCAGCACTACACTCACTATACTTACCACCTAACACACTGATCATACCTTCCAGCACTACACTCACTATACTTACCACCTAACACACTGATCATACCTTCCAGCACTACACTCACTATACTTACCACCTA